AATTCAGACACAAGTATATAAGTCGTTTTGAATTCTTTTCTCACAGTGTCTGGCTCTTCACTCACATGCACTGCTTTTGAACTCATGTTTTAAAGAGACATTGGGGACAGTGGTACCTGACACCAGTCCTGAATGTTCTGCAAGTCCCAGAAGACAAGATGCCCTGAGCTGTACAACATCTGCATTGTAGAATGAAGCCTTTTCTTCGATCACACTTAAGATTAATCTGTTTTTCACTGCAGAAAACAGATGTCCTGTGGGTTGGAACAGTTTTAATCTAAAATGTTATTACAACTCTGACAAAAAGAACAACTGGGTCAACAGTCAGAGGGACTGTAGACAGAGAGGAGCAGAACTGGTGGTTATAGACAGCAACGAGGAACAGGTAAGAGAGAGAAAATGTCAGATTATTTCAAAGGAGAATTTCATTCGGCTTCATCCTCTTCTAAAATGATTATAGAAGATACAAAGAACTGAAAGAGTTTATAGAAAGTGAAAGGAATTCTTAATGGTGATCTTCATTGTGACATATTCACAGTCATTTCTATCACACTTTAGATTTTCATCAGTCAATTCCGGAGAGCCTGGATTGGTCTGACAGACAGAGAACATGAAGGGAACTGGAAATGGGTGGATGGGACACCAATTACCATAAGGTAAGAGAGATTACTGTTACAGAAGAAGACAAGAATCAGAGAGCAGATAAGAACTGTTGCGTTCTCTTGAAATGAAATGCTTCACACTTCTAATTGTTTTAGTTATGTAGAGTGTAACCCCCATACCATAATGTCACTTGCACAGGAGAACATCATTTCTCGTTGCTTCACACAAATTTCCAAATGTTTCAGTGCATGTATGCAAATGGTCTTATGACATAAGTTTTTGGCATAATTTTCAGCTGCTTAAGTATTGTAGGTAAAAAGTGAATATGTAACAATTTCTCACCCAAAACTATATATGAAAGTGATTTTAGTTTAAGCCATGCAAAGCACCAAACTTTCAAAATGATTCAAGAGTATATTCTGTAAAACAGTGATAAAGTATTGGCTTGTTTTTTACATCCATCCATCCATCCATCATCCATCCATCATGTGCCGCTTATCCGGTGGCAGGTCATTGGGGCATTAGTCTAAGCAGGGATGCTCAGACCTCCCTCTCACCAGCCACCTCCTCCAGCTCCACTGGGGGATACCAAGGCGTTCCCAGGCCAACCGAGAGATAGAATCTCTCCAGTGTGTCCTGGGTCTGCCCATGTCCAGTTGGACATGCCCAAAACACCTTCCAAGGGAGCTGTCCAGGAGGCATCCTAGCCAGATGCCCAAATCAGCTCAACTGGCTACTTTTAATGCAAAGGAGTATTCCTAAGGCTGAGCCCAGGCACCCTATGGAGGAGACTCATATCTGCTGCTCGTAGTTGCAATCTCATTCTTTCAGTCACTACCCAGAACTCATGACAATAGGTGAGGATAGGAACGTAGATCAATTGGAAAATTGAAAGCTTTGACTTCTAGCTCAGCTCCCTCTTTACCACAACAGAATGAAAGAGTGTCTGTATTACTGCTGACACTGCACCAATGCATCAGTTGATCCCCCACAGGACCCCCCGACGTACATGATTGTATGCCTTCTCCAAGTCCATAAAACACATGCAGATTGGTTGAGTACACTGCCCTGAATCCTTGTAAGGGTGAAGAGCTGGTCCAGCATTCTAGGACCAGGACAGAACCTGTATTGTTCCTTCTGGATCCGAGGTTCGACTAACAGGTAGACCCTCCTCTCTGGTACCCCAGCATAGACCTTCCCAGGGAGGCTGAGGAGTGTAAAGCCCTGCTTCCCCTGTCCAGAGTCACTTTTCAAGGTCGACTGAAGTACTTCTCTATAGCCTCACCAAACTCCTCCCATACCTTAGTTTTTGCTTCAGTAACTGGCAAAACTTATTTCCGCTTGGTCTGCCAGTACTTATCAGCTGTTTGAGGAGTCTCACAAGCTAACCAAGCTGAGAAGGCCTCCTGCTTCAGCCTGACAGCTCCCTTTACCGCTGGTGTCCACAGGGATTGCCGCCGCGACAGGCACCAACAACGTAGCAGCCACAACTCTGCATCGCCATCTCAGCAATGCAGCTCAAATGTCCCCTGACTCCCTCGGGATGCAAAAGATGTTCTGCCGGAGATGAGAGTTAAAGATTTCCTGGACAGGGGCCTCCATCAAACATTCCCAGCATACCCTCACTATATGTTTTGGTCTACT